GTGAAGATGCCCATCCTTGCAGCAGGCACCTGCATGTTTGCTATTGCCGTGGGCAGGGTTCAACATAGCTTGCTGCACTCGATAGACTCTATGACATCTATGAGAGATTCAACGAGGTCTTCTGGGAACCCTAAACCCTAAACCCTACAAACCCTAAAACCTAAACCCTAATTAGGTGGTCGCCTGTGTCGCCCTCCAGCATGACAAGGTACGGCAGCGAAGAGCAGCAGTTGAAGCGACAGCAGCTGAACAGGCGAACATAAAAAGGGTCTGAATACCCATAGGCTCCTAAGTAGTTCCGATTTAAATTTGTGTGGTTTATATTTAGAATCCTATGAGGTAATCCCAAAAAGGAACTACTAAGGAGCCTATGGGTAGTGAGAAGAAGTGTCTTAGGGTCCCTCTGTCAATCTTTAGTTGCGCTGCGGCTTCTATACGTGACCTCGGACACTGAACATCACCACTGGCTTCACTGGCTTTGAAGCCACAGACCTAAACCACCGAAACTCCCAACCCTAAATTTTGAAAGCTCTTCAGGAAACCCTAAACTCCTGAACCCTATAAGCCGTTCAGGAACTTGGCAGTACAACGACTCTGTGGTGGAGCAGGTCGTGGTAGATGCTCTCGACGCTGGCTTCTCTCACATTGACACCGCCTACGACTATGGCAATCAGGTCGGCAGTTTAGGCTTTCGGCTTCAGAGATTTAGGCTTTAGGCTGTAAGGTGCTCTTTGTCGGCAGCGATTCCTTCTGCTTGTTTGGGGTTTCCGGGGCTAGAGCCTTCCGCCCCAGCTTTGGTCTCTGAATCTACGATAAACGCATGCGTTTTCGGCGCTGTGCATCTAGTCCTAAACACATCAAACTCCAGACCTTAGAGAGGCAAACTTGCGCCTCCGCTCCAGAAGCCCACACTATAAGGGTGACTCATATACTACAAGGGTTGCTATATCGGCTTCCACACGAGTATAAGGGCTGCTACAAGGGTCCTGGTAAGGTTATCTTATGTACACTTCAGGACCTGGGATCTTCTTTGTTCTCTGGGTATACTTTATACCGAGAGGGTAGACTGTGAGCAGTTGAGGTCAGGTGAAGTGGAGCTCGACTGGACCTACGGCAAGGGTAGGTGAACTTAGCAAGTAGTAGATAGTAGAGCTACAAGTAGGATGAGTCCTCGCTGACGACGACGGCAGGTTTGAAAAAACGGCACACCAAAAGGGGCACACCTAACCTAAACCCCTAACCCCAGCCAGTGTACCCATCCCCAGATGGCCTGGGCACAGCCTCCTTCCTTATTGGATGAACTAGTCCAACTGTGCTGTGGGCTGCAGAAGTATGGTATCACTCAGGCTGCGTGCGTCCTTGCCTTTGCATGATAGCGTGATTCTAGGGCCTGACGGAATACCTATGCAGACCCATGCGCGAGCCATACCCACATGCCCAACCCCCCCAGCATGCAAAGAAGTGAACCCTGAACTCCTATGAGCCGTAAAGAACCCTGAAGGGAACCTCAAAGTAGCAAAGGTCGGCGTGGGCAAAGGGCTCAAGAAGTCTGGCAAGCCACGGGAATCCATTTTCGTGACGACTAAGGCGGGGCTCTAGATCTGAGGGTGACGGGTTAGGTTCCTAGTAGTAGGGTAAGCAACCTCAAAAACTCTTAGGGGTGTGGTCTAACTTAACCCTGAACCCTAAACCCTAAAACCCTAAACCCTAAACCCTAAAGTTTTCAGGAAACTTGGTTTAGGCCCGAGAGCTTGGAGGGTTTAGGGGTCCAGGTGTACATTGAAGGAGAGCTGGGGTCTGACTGGGCACGATAGCAAGGGGCCTTGGTAATTAGAGCAGGCCTGTAGCAGTATATAATTACATATGTATATATATATATATGTGCATACATATTTTCGGTTTACTTATAATCGTATGTGTATATATATATATATAGTTGTTTGCTTATTTACTTATGTATTTGTTGATCTATCTATTTGCTTGTTTATGTATGTACATATATATATATATGTACACATACACATGCATATTGGGACCATGAGGAGCTATTCAGAAGACTATTGTCTTCACTCATGCGTCCTTATCGTGTTCGCCGGCACAGTTGTGGATTTGGGGGCTCTACGGCATTGAAACCGCTTCCTCTATCACGGTTTAGGGTTTAGGGCTTGGGGTTTAGGGTTTATAGAACGCTTGCTGGAACGTAGCGCGTGAGGGGACTGAAGAGCGAGTCGTAGTCTTTGCTGGGCTGCAACTAAGGGTTGAGCTCCTGGGGTTGAGGTTGTAGGGCTGACAGTGTGGGTGTTTGGGAAAGAAGGTGGGGTCATGGATTCTGCAGCGCGGCATGGTTCAAATCTTCACATTTGCCATAGCACTCAAGCCGGGCATTTGCACGTCAAATCTAAGTCCATAAATGAGGAGTTAAACCCTAAATCCTAAACCCTAACAGAATGGACTTCCGGTTTACATGTTCAGGCTTGGGGGCTTTGGGATGTTGGAATCTGACAGATATTGTCCGTTTCCAGATTCAGTGCTTGGCAAGGTTTGTTTGAGCAGCACCCCACACTACCTGATCCGGATCCTACAGCATCTACTTTTTGTAGGGCTCCTTACTATGATTTCCTGAAAAAGTCCATGAAACGGCAGGTTATTCAGGGTCCGGGTAAACCTTCAAACCAAGTTTCATACCCCGAAACCCTACTCTAGTTATTAAGACTCCTACATACAGCTCTCCTAACCTCTGGTTCCCAAACCCTTCAAACCTAAACCCCACTGTAAACACCAAAACCCTAAGCCCTTTGAAGTGGAGCTTGTAGACTGCCTTGGATCTCCCCAACAGTTTCCCTCCCTGCGGTGCGACTTGGTCAGCTGGGCGGGTGGGAACTAAAAAGCCCTGGAGCCCTTGACCCCTAAACCCTACAAGCCCTAAACCCTAAACCCTGGAGCCCTAGACCCCTAAACCTAATAGCCTCTGGTTCCATTCTTGGGCATCGGAAAACCCCCATCCTGGCCTCGCAGCACTGATGCTCGAACTCTGGAACCAAGGCCCGAAGCCCTCCAAGCTCTTAGGGCTTCGGGTGGTTTAGGGAGTGTGGTCTAGGGTTCAGGCTTTAAGGTGTTCAGGGCGTCTTCGGGATTTATGGGCGGTCTTGGGTTTTTTACGGTTTGGGTCTAGGAGTTAGTAGGTAATTAGGGCCTAGGGTTTAGGAGTTGCAGCTGTTTCGGGTCTAGGGTTTAGCAAACCCATCTTCATTGCACACCGACCCCCTTCTGTTGCAGCAAACTCCTACGTCCTCCAGCCCTAGACCCCCACGCCCTAAACTCCTGCACCGCCCAAAAGGAGCCAGATATACCTTAGTCCCTAAAGCCCTAAGCCCTGAAACCCTAAAGCCTTAAACCCCTGACACCCTAAATCCTAAAACCCCTCGACCCCGGACACCCGAAGCCCCGAAACCATGAACTTCTGAGCCGCAACCCATAAGCTCCTAAGTAGCTCCTTTTTGTGGTTTATATATTATAGTTAGAATCCTATAAGGTAATCCCAAAAAGGAACTACTAAGAAGCCTATGGGTAAAGTCTAAGAGAGAGTCCAGGCAGGTCCCCGGTTGTGGCCTCCAGAACTCCAGCGCGGTCAGCCCAGACGTGTGCAAGATCGATACCGTGAACAAGATTGAGCCTGGGATTTTTATGGCCCCGAAATGAATCTAATTCAAATTTTCGGATTTTTTAATGCAGATGGCCCCCGAAATGAATCTAATTCAAACAATTTCGGGACAAACCCAGGGCAACAAAAGGTAGCTCAGTTCTGCTAGAAGTACAAGCAAGATCCAGGCTATGGATACATTGAGCGCTGGGAGAATATTGAAATGAACAAAAGAAATTGCTTTTTCAAGTTTAAGTCTTGGGGGTTGAGGACTGGCAGGGGAATGGCGTGGACAATTTGCTTTGCTTGGGCATTCGGACAGTAGCTAGACTAGACGTGCAAGTTGGATGCAAGCACATCGCAGTTTCCTCGGCATTCATATTTGTGATGTACTTAGACCTTAGGCTGAGCATGGTTTGTTGTTTTCGGCGCATGCCTGCAGCTAAACAAATCAAGTCGCAAGCACAAGGGGGGGGTTAGGTCTTTATGGTGTTCAAGTACAGGTTTTGGGATGTCCAGGAAACCCACAGCTTCAAGAAAGATAAAACGTCTACAACTTGAACTGAAGTCGGTCTGCGGCTGCACCGATCTTGAAAAAGACCCTCGCAAGAATAAGCTGTCAACATCACCATCACATCACCAGGATGTTTTTCACGCTTCACGGCAAGGGGAACATGGAATCTGGTGTATGTGAGGAGATCTCTCAATTAGGGTCCCCTTTGAAATCCCCAATATAGTATGGCACCCTTATAAAAAGGACCCCAAAAAGGGACCCTAATTTAGAGAACTACCCATGTGGGAAACCTGGGCGGGTGAGTAATGCGGGACAGGGCGGCACGAGAAATCCGCGACATCTGCTGCACGAAGCCAGGTCGCCTAGCAGGATATGGGAGCTTCAGAAAACAAAGGACGTCACTACCATGTATAGTAGGAGGCTTACTGAAAGAAGCCCTAAATCAGGCACCCGTAAGACTCCAAGTCATGAAAATTAAGCCACATAAACAGAGACAGACACAGGGACAGACATACGGACACACACACACACAAACAAACACGGCTAGTGTTTCGGATTTTCGGGGTTACCTTAGCCCTCACGTGCTCAGGAATTGGACCTTGAGCAACTGAACCTGGAGTACCTTGACATGGCCATCTGCTCAGAGGGTCTCTCTGAACGCAGGTTTTATGGGAGAATCACGGGCTGCGAGCCCACGGACACTGACAGTGTGATGCCAGAATCCCCCCCCCCTAAACCTTAAAAGCCCATGCCCCAAACCCTGAAACCCTACTAGGCCTTAACTATAGGGTCGTCAAGGAGTCTTACATTAGGTTTCGCTTGGCCGATGCGATTGGCGACCATCAGTCTCGGATCTTCGGGTGTCAGTAGGCGAGGGAGTAGCCTTTAGCCAGTGATGGGATAGTATATGGGGCTTTCCGATAATTAGGGTACCTTATTTTGGGGTCCTTATAATAAGGATCCTACTATTTAGGGTACTATATTAGGGTCCCCTATTTTCGGAAACCCCCCCATATGTAAAGTTTACTTACGGTTTCGGGTCGGTACAACCCACACAGGGTGGTTTCCTCAAAATTGCGGTAGTAGCGAACCAGCAAGGATCCTATCTTGTAGAGTTTGTACCCGGGCCCTGTTTTGTATGTGGTAGTTCTTGCACATGGAACCCAGAACTTGCCGTCCCGGTGGACCATCCCGGAGGTGCTGATCCATTTTCCACCTTGCCCTGGCATGGACGGAAAGCAGAAAAGCCCGTCTGAAGTGCCCTGCTTCTCGCCTACTGGGTGTCACTGGTAGGGTATGTTCTTCGAAGTTTCAAACAATTCTTACTCTGGGATACCGGGATAATCGGGGTCGGGTTCATGACTCCGTCTGTGGGATTTGGACGACAGTGCCGCGGTGAGTTGGGGCATTTTCGTCCAAAGTAATCTCATATTAGGTGTTGTCCGGCAGCAGTCGTAGCAGTAGTCGCCGTACTACGACGACGACGACTACTACTACTGCTGCTACTGCTACTGCTACCGCTACCGCTACTGCCGCTACTACTGCTGCTACTGCTACTGCTACCGCTACCGCTACGGCTACTGCTACTGCTACTGCTACTGCTACTGCTACTACTACTACTACCACCACCACCACTACTACTACTGCTACCACTACTGCTAAACGATTGTGGTTGGTTGGTGTTTTGACATTTGCCTCGCCTGGAGTGTCCGAGTCCTAGTTGTGAGTGCCGAAACCCCCGAAAACCCACAGAAAGACCCCTCGAGCCTTTGCAGCACCAGGCACAGATTGCTTTAGGGCCGCGGGCTGTGGGCAAGCAGCTGGTACCCAAGCCAATGCCATGTTGCTAAGTTCCAAGATACAGGTTTCAGCTCCGACCTGGACCCCCAATAACCTACTTTTTAAGGACTTATACATAAGGAAATCATTATAGGGAACCCTAAAAATGCAGGTCTTATGGGGTCCAGGGAAGCCCTAAACATGAACATCCCAAAACCCCCTGTGGACCCAGAGACCTCCACGGGCAGTGTTCGAGTTGCGAGAGCTTAAACCCCCTTTGAGTCTTTCTTCGCTCTTCTGCCCTTAAAGAGGTCTTGGCAGTAATAGTTGTGGTGGTGAGTAACGGCACCACTAAACACACAAACCCTAAATCCTAACAAGGGCAAAACGACAACCAAAAGCCTTAAACTAAAACAGCTAACCCCCCGAAAAGGCAAAACACCACCAAAGAAAAAGCTTCAAGCCCAAAGCCTTACAACTGGCACAACCAAGACCTACCGCCCTACACCCTGAACCCAAAACCACCACCCAAATTTCAAATGCCCAAAAGCTTGCATGCCTTATCGCGACCCAGGCTACAAGGACAAATCGGGCTGCACCCACCCACAAGCCTGCGATTTTGTCCGGGCTCAGTGGAGCAGCTTGCCTGGAATAGTTCAGGGCTTAGGGCCTAGGGTGGCATGGATTTTAAGACCTGGGGTTTGGGCAGGGTGTACACTAGCAGCGGGGCGTGTCGGCAGTGGTACAACAAGCTTCTTGTTCAGGAAGACAACTTCACTTACCAGAATAGGTATGTGTTGCAAAATTGCATGGGATATCAGCCGATTATATGGCTTCCTCTTGAAGGTAGCTTAAGGTAACTAAGAATTAGGTCCTTTAACAAGAGCCCAGTTCATTCGGCTTCGAGCACCCAGGGGCCACTGAACCAATTTGGACTTCTGGGACTACTTGGCTGCACCACTTGGGCGTCATAATATCCTTGACTTGATCTTCTTCTAGGCCTAAACACTAACCCGTAGGCCATGTAAACATCTGCAGCCATGTTAGTCTCGGAAGGTGTGCAGTTACCTTAAACCAACACGCAGACTTTACAGGGAGGGCAGGTTGCGGGGCGAAGGTAGGGTGCAGGGTAACGGATGTCGGCAATCTCTCCCTGTCCTTTCTGGCCTTGCCGAGTTGCTGCCGAAGGTGTGAATTCTATAGCACTTTCGATGACCTTTCCGGTCTGGGAATTCAGGGTTTGCAGAGCGGACTTCAGCACCAGTAGCTTTGCGAAGACTTCGGATTTAACGCCTGTGCTCTTCCGGATGTGCACCAAGCCCTGAGGCTCGAGTCCTTCAGTAAGATTCCGGAAAACCTGTCTTTGCTTCCAGCTGGCATCTGCACTTGCATGCCGGACTTCATGCATGGACAAGCCAAAAAGCGGCGCGTGAATCAATGAAGCCTATGCTGCCCTAGCCATGAGTGAGGCGTCCTCACAGACTACTACAACAAGAAGAAGATCCGTGCGATTGGTGGCTTGGCATTGAACCAGTCTCTGTGAGCCAACCAAAGTGATGTGACAGAGGGAGTATCACCAAGATTCTGGCAGGATATGGAGTTGTCAATGCAACTCCGGGTAAGCACAATCTATCACAAGCTGTTCCTAACAGAGTGTGGCGACATGGCAATTCTCTGCAACTGAATGTTGGGATCAAACAGCGGGGATTGCCTGCAAGATTTGTTCTACACATATCCTGTCATGTTGCTCTTACTAGTGGTAACTTGTGTCACAGACAACCCAGCGACATCGTTATCTTGCTTGCTTGCATTGAGGGGTGGTGGCCCAGTGACGATGTCGATGACACGACGTCCGCATGAGGACAATAGAAAACAGAATGCTCATGCCAACGACTTTAACATACAAATACATCATGTCATGGCATGCGACTCGGGTTCTATCTACTCGGATAGTCGGTTCGCCATCCAGTCAAGAAGCAAGCCCAATCAGCGTAGGGAGCATAGCAAGCTCGACTGGGTTGTAGATCGGAGTGTTGTTGCTTCAGGGTTCCGCGGTTTGGGTCTAGGCATCAGCGATCTAGAGCTGAAAGAAACGCGGAAGAAATCATACGCGAGAAGTAGAGCCAAGGATTGTTTGCTCAAGTTCGGCAAAACCCCAAACTTCTGAAGCTTATTTGAAGAACGGTCCGCAGCATGAATACTCCGCGCAGCAAATGCTGAAAGTTAATAGCCGCCCCCACATTTTTTTTCGGTTTTCACTCGTAGGGTTTAGGGCTTATGCAAAAGGGAAGTTTCACATGACAGGTGTTGGACCTTCTATGCTGGGTGCTGAGGTGTCTCAAACTATTGCAGCGCGTGCTTCGAGTGCCTGTCCGGAAGCACAGTGATGCCTATGGTCAACCAGGTTGGCCGATTCGGGTGTTTGGCGGAGCAGGGTTGAACCCTAAACCGTGTTTGGGGGGTTTAGGGTTTAGAGTTATTTTGCCAGCTTGAGGTTGGTTTTTTTGGGGATGTCGGGCTGAAGCTCCAGCTTTCACCCTGGGGCTATCTTTGGGGGTTCGGGTTCAGCCTGGGTCCTATTTCTGCCACGTCGAAATAAAGCGATGCCTCCGAAGAAAGCAAAGCACGAAGTCGTTGGGGATGCCGAAGACTCTGGCAGTAGTTGGATGGCAAGCAAGTATGCGCCAAAGAGTCCTCAGCCATCTTCTAGAGTACGATAAGTCGATAAGGGTCCCTGAAATCTGGATCAGACTGTACATACTCGGCTTTCACCCTAACGCAAAGGCGCCGAAGCCCTCTCACCTTGCAAGGCCAACTCCTAATTAGGAGTTTCAGGAAGACAGCTACTCCGTATACGGGTAGTTCTCTAAATTACCTAACGGGTTCACTTTCCGGGGTGGTTTTTCCTCTTGTTACGTGCTGTTGCATGCCCCTCTCCTTCAGTGCTGCCTTTCCCTCACTTGGAAATCACCGTCCTGTGGGAGTTGTGCGCCTTCTTGCAGATGTTGCGCTCTTCGTAGCCGAGGTTTCTGTCTCATTGCCTCTGTCTTGTTTTTCGTGCACGAAACTCACGTGATTTTTTGTCGTACATTTTTGGTTGCGACTTCGTCCTAAGCTCCAAAGCGTGGCCTGCGTGTTATATTCCTGACATTCTGAAACCATGTTGCTTGCTATCTCGCGCTTTGCGCTTTCTGCGTTTTTCTGTCTGGGCCGTTTTCCGTGATGTGCTCTGCTTGTTTTTTTTTGGGGGGGCAAGCCGGAGCCGCCAAACTCCTTCACCACCTAAACCCTAAGTTCTAAGCCCCAACCCGTGCTACCGTTCTTGTGCCGGGACAGGTCCAGCTCCATGTGGGCATGGGCCCGGGTCTTACATGATAATCCCCGTTTTGTCCGTGCAGCACCATGAAGTAACAAAAAAGCCCGCACGGGTGTAGGGCTTAGAGTTTAGGCCCCGCCTGATCCGCCCGGGCCGGAGAGGGCAGGCAGCAACCGCCAGTTGGGTGTAACGACATGTTGAGTCGTTCTTGTGCATACTATCTTGCCCATGCTTTGTAGATTCTAGCATGCTGTTCATTCCTGAACCCTGACCCCTAACCCCCAAAACCCTTCAATCTAAACCTTTAAAGCCAGCATGGGTGGCAGGGATCGGCATCAGGTTTCGAAGCTTTCTTCGGGGAAACTGTGTAGGGATTCGAGTTTTCGACAGAGCTCTACGGTTTAGAGCACCGTTGCGGGTTGAAGTTTCGGAATCTGTATGCACTTCTGGTAACACCTTAAGCACAAGCAACAGCAAAAGCTGCTAGCAAGGTCAACTGCTGCGCGGCTCCCCTAAACACTCAAACCCTACAGACAGAAAGCCTGAAACTAGACCACGAGGCCAAGAGCCTAAACCCTATACCCTGACACCCCAGACGTCATGCGGAGTCGTGCCTTGTCACTACCTCCGTTTTTCCCTCGGAGCCGACTATGGGCACTGCAGTCACAGTGAGTAATGCTTATATAGGGCTGAAGGACTGTATATCTACGCCCATGTCGCACCCAAGTCTTCCAGTCGAGGGACTTCAATCCACATCCCCAAAGCCCAACCATATCCCAAAGCCTAAGCCCTGAACCCTAAACCTTGAACTCCTAAAGCCTGAACCCAGACCCGAATCATCAACACCTTTTGGGGTTCAAGGTTGAGCCCTAAACGCTCCCAGCTGAGGTGCCGATCCACAGGGATTCCGGTCCTTCGCCGAGAAGCACCAGATCGTCCTGCAGGCAGTGAGACCCGCCAATAGGTTTGAGGTTTCGGGTTTGGTTTTGGGCTTAGGCGGTTTATGAGCTTGGCCTGAGGAGCTAGGGAGATAGGTTGAAGTTTTCTCCGAGTTTTAGGGCAGGTTGTTCGGTCTCAGGACTCCAAGACGTGTGCCCGGGACATCTCAGGCAGAATGGCTTTGTTTTTATTCAAGGTGACTGGCTTCAGCTGCAAGTCTTAGAGCACCCTAAGCCCTAAATCCTAAACCCTCAAAGACGCTGTCCACAATACTACGACGACGACTATTACGACTAATGCGATGCTTCATAGCAGTAACAAAAACAAGAACCATATTCACAGCATTTGTGGTCATGTCGAGAAGAGTAGTCATCGTACCATAAAGCATAAGTGCAGAAATCCTCCAGTCCTAAACTCTGACTTCCGAAGCCCTGAACCCTCCACACCATAGCCCGACAGCTCAGACCAGATCTCCAAAAATCTCTGACAGAACCCTCATAACAATCCTAAACCCTAAACCCGCAAAACCCTAAACCCTAAATCGTAAGGACCCAAGGAGAAACCTGACGAACCCAATATGTCAAACCTTGCTTAACCCCCCGAGAAGCCCGAGTGAACTTTATGCATCCCTAAAAACCCAAGCCCTAAACCTTAAGCCCCAAACCTCCCCAAACCTGAAACCCTTTTTGATCAGGCTTGCGTGTCGCGCCTGGCTGGGTTGAGGCATGCTGAAGCCTAAACCTTACACCCCAAACCGAACCGTAAACCCCAAGCCTTCCGAACCCTAGAACCCTTTCACCCTACAAACCCAAACTTTAAACCCTAAAGGCCCTAAACCCTGAAACCCTAAACTTTAAACCCTCAAGGCCCTAAGCAGTCGAGTTCCGAGAGTGTAAGCCCTGAGCAGTCAAGCACGGACGTAGACCCCTAAACCCTTAACACCGCTTCGCCTTGCCTCGCCTGGATTGTCCGAGCTAGTACAATAACATAGCTCAAGTTCCTGTTTAAGGTTTATAGGGTTATTCGTGAGCGCCGAAACCCTAAACCACAAAGCGAGGCATGGAGTCCACTGGGCAGTGGCGGCCATGGCTCGACGGAAATCCTTTCAGGTTGGCCTTTCGGGGGCTTTTTGGTTCGGACCTCTTAGGGCTGGGGGTTTTGGGTTGAGGGTTTCGCCCTAAACCCTGCCTGGACCCCAGATAACCTACCCTTTTGTTAATTAAGGACGGTGTATAAGGCAAAAGATACAGGTCTTATGGGGTCCAGGAAAGCCCTAAACCCTAAAGGTCTGGCTTGAGGTTCGAATTCGGACGGTTTTTGGGGGATTCTAGGGTTGAGGGGTTGGGGTTTAGGGTTGAGGATGTGTGGATTTAGGGGCGAGGGTTGAGGTTCGAGGTGTTGAGTGCAGGGTTTTGGGGCTGTCGGGTGTAATCTAGAAGCTACGAGAAGGGGATCTTGGATTTTTGAGATGTAAAGTGGAGGGGCTCAAGATAGTATAGAGGCTTAGGTCCGCAGGTTTAGGGTTCGATCGCTTCTGTTCTGGGTTTTGGGGTTGATCGCTTGGCCGTCTGAGAGAGTCATAAAGCTTGACTAAAGCACGAATACAATTCCGCCGGGCTGCGTCTTCTAATCATCGTGCAATTCTACCCCAAGACTCTAGTCTAGGACATTTTCAGGTGGGTAGTTATATACCCTTGTGGAAGCCGTCTAGAAGGTCTATACCTTATAGAAGCCCTATATACCCTAAACTCCCCACCTGTAGTTTCCTTTCAATTTAGTCGTGTCAAGACCCCCTAGGCGCCCCGAGACCCCCTTTTGGGTTGGGGAGGTAGGATGTTGGGAAAAGGCGTCGGGGAGTTCGCAGATCGAGGGCAGGCAGTGTAGCGGGCTCCTTCCTCAGAGGTTTTTGAAGCAGAGGCCCAGGGATTTCAGAGTTTAGGGTTTAGGGGGCCACTTCCCGGTTAAGACTTTGGTGCTCAGGCATTAAGGGCCAGGCTTTAGAATTGGGGTTTGGCGTTGGGGCTAGTAGAATGCTGCTGCTGGTCCTCTTTCAGAAACCCGTTCTATAAACCTTAACCGCAACCGCAGCGCGGACAAGATAGGACAGTTGGTTGCGGGGCCCAGGATGGCATGGAAGATTGAATGACAGTGTTTAGGGTTTGGGGCTAAAGGGCATAACTCGGAAAGCTCGGTCCATTTGAGTCGCTCTATCAGGCAACACGTACTCTTGCTTCATGTCTACATCCAAGATCTCGAGCGCCGGAGGGATGAATACCCGTTGGCCTATCACGACCACTGCTGCACCGCTCGCTTTCAAAGCTTTTTTCGGTAGTTCTTGTATAGTGCTACATGATTAGAGACATGTTCATGAAGGAACAACAGTTGTACTCCTGAAGCCTCCACGTGAAGATACATTCGTGGAAGTGTGACCGTCATGTGAATGTCGGTGGCGAAGATGATTGCCGTTGTCATTTGTAGTCGTCTCCATACAAAATATAGGTGTCACGGGTTCTGCCTCTGGTATCGATTTCACGGTCTCTGTTACCGTTGTTGCCGGTTGCCCTTTGCGCTATTGGTCGTGGGTCCATAGGATCATAGGAGTTGAGGCTTCTATCTGCGCCTGGCAGGCAACCTCACCACATCCATCGGCAAGAAGTACGGCAAGTCTCCTGTACAGGCCTGCAGTATTGTAGCATCATGCAGCGGCCGATGTCTTCTTGCAGTCCCTCTGCAAGTAGCGTGTAATGCACCATACCCCAAACCCTAGTCTAGCTAATTAGGCCCCACTCCATCCTATAGTATATATCCCTTTCCGTACCCTTACCGGAACCCGATTCTAGCATAATAGTTCTTCAGGCCCTTGAGGTATATAGTAGACGTCCAACAGTTAGCAACGCAACAGCCTCAACCCTTGAATAATGCATCGGGAATCCTAGCACTGATTGTCCTTAATCGGGTTTCCTACCTTTTTTTTGTGATTTGTTCTAACGTTCAGAATAAAAGGTATTCGGCAGTTCAGTCATTAGATCAAAGGCTACTATGAGGTTTCCACAAGGTTACTGAAAGGGTTCTAGAGGGTTCTATAATACCATAAGGGTTGTGCAAGCGTTCTAAACGGTTTTTCTAGGTTGTGCATGACCAAGGTAGAGAGAGAGAGAGAGAGAGAGAGAGAGAGATTTGCACCGCTTTGAGACTTGTTGAGTTCTGGCTACCACTGGGTTTAGGGTTTAGGGTTTGGGCGTGCAGGTGGCACTCAAGTGGATTGCCTCCCACAACGTCTCCATTGCGACGAAGTCGTCAAACAAAGAGCACTTGAAGGCAGGATCCGTCAGCCGCAACCTTTCGGCCAACAATCCCGGCTACTTCGAAACATGCTCAAAGGCACGGCGATTCCAGGACACTCCAATACTCCCTGTTCAAAAGTTACCCAGTAAGGACTATTTTCTTCAGAAATAGACTTTGATGGAAGGGTTCGGGAGTTTCTGGAAGCCCGAAGAAAATAACTTCGCCCGAGGCCAATACGGAGATCTTTGATTTCAAGCTTAGCGATGAGGACCTTGCCAGCCTCGATGCTGCTGACTTTGCCAAGGAGGACCTGAATGGGGAAGCGGCTTTCGGGCACGTCGTTTTTGAGTTGGGTTGCGCAGCGCATTCAAGGTCGATATCTGCTTTGGAAGCTCTCTCATCTCATTAACCCCAAGCCCAAACCTCTCTGCTGGGGACGGAAAGGGTGGGCCAACTAAATTAGGATTGGTTTCCGATATTAGCGCTGTGAGGCCTCACAGTCTCATTCCACCCGGTTTGCCGAGTAGCAGGCGTGGACATTTGGTCTTTCGTTCTGAACATTTTGGAGTTTGGGGCTTTAGTGTGGGGCTTGGGGTTTAGATGGGTTTAATGTACTTAGATGCACTTTTGGCTTACTACTGGCGAAGGTTTGCAGGATGAGTTGCAGGCATGATTCTGGGGTTGCACTTGGTGCTGCGTACACGGACCTACCCTAAAGACCCAACATACGTCTCGAGTCTCGAGCTCCGGCTCTGTGACGGGTTTTTTCATTACCCACAACACGGGATTTCACTGCTGGTCACAGGGATGCCTTTGTTTCCACCTCGTCCAGCGACACTGCCTTCTGTAGGCGCCATGCCTTTACAGTTCCTACACATCGGATACGTGGTATGTACCACCGTGGCCGCAATCTCTCCGTTCGATCCAGCGCGTAGGACTGCTTCCAACATGGACGTACTTCCGGGTTAAAGCAATCCCACAATGGTTCCATGTACTTACAAGGTATTTGAGTAAGCATTGATCCTGCAGAAACCTTTTAAGACCAAAGACCCCAGGCTCTTCCCTATGTATTGGAATCCTACGGGTACAACACCACTGCCGGAGGACACGCCCTCTTTCCTGTGCAGCGACCCGGCCCCCTCGGAGG